TGCTAGGACCCCCGAGTAATCTATACGAACCCACTTATAGGGGTTCATTTAGAACACTGATTAATAAGAACCCTCGTATTAACTTAAGCAAATTCCCARAGAGCAACATAAACAGTAAATTAATAATCTGTAAATTTGTATGTATTATAAATATACCTATATCGGGCTATATGTAGTGTGCTATGTAGTAAATACAATATGTGCGTTTGCGTAAGCTGTGTGGACGTAATAGTGATACCAAAAATGTAAATCGTAATGTTTATTATTTATTTAATTGAACGGCATAGTAGAAAGACAAATAATTATGTATTTATGTYGTTTGATAAATATAAAATTTTATATGCAAATTTGGATATAACAATGATAATATAATTGTATAGTATTATTGTATATCATAATTAAAATATTACACAAATAAAAAACTATAACAGATACTTTGAATTCAATTCAACTTTTCTTGTCGACGAATTCATTTAAATAATTTTACTTTTGACGAATGTTTATAAATTTATATTTACAGAAACTGATATAAGTTCAAAGTCTATTCAAATATAATTAGCCAAATATTATATTTCAAATCAAAGAAAATTAGGTAGGTACACACACCAACATATTATTATTACATAGTTAAAATGTGTATATTTACAATTCCGTWTACAATAGTTACTATTTAATATAAATTATGTTATAATTGTAGATTATGTTCAATAATATTAATCAATCGTAAAAATCGAAAAAAAAGTAAAAACATCTATAATAATGAACCTTAAAGAATTTCCGAAGTGATAAAAAACAAACCAAACAAAAAATTATATAATATATATTTACATAGGTACAATTGTTCTTATGAATAATTTATAAATAGATTGAAGTAAGTTCTACGGTATTTTTTGTACACGAATCAGCAAAACGAGTTTCAAGACTTTGAAAATTATTCTATTGARGTTTATAGTACACGAAAAAATGGCGCATGGTTTTAAAAACAAGAACGATTCAGCGTTTCAGCCCGTTATAAATAATTATTTAAAATAATTCAATTAGCATACAATCATATTATGTATCTAGTATCACAGCAACTCTATGTCTGATATTGTAACATTGGTGTGGTGAGGTTTGGATGATGTCCGGAGTTCATCCGCAATGCTGATAAACTTTTATTGTACCATTCTTCTTCTGGCATCATTCCTGAAAAACCAAACGGAAAATATTAGGTACTTTATTATTTAAATTGTTCCAAACAAATTTCAAGTGTGAAAAAGTCTTAAATGATAAGAGTTGTGAGGTAATAATAATTAACTTATAGGGCACAATATACCTATCGTTATTACAATCGTGTATCGTGTCAGAGTTATTTTATCATGCTAAGCACGCAGTSGAGTATTATTGATGAATAAACGTATATGAACATTTAAATAATATTTATTTTACTTTTATAATCACCCTCTTTAGATTAATAAGCAGATGTGATCCTATAAGTATATAAATTTATTTGTTACCATACATTTTCAGAAAATCTTGTWTAGATTAGAAAACTTCCAAAAATAGTACTAGTTTTTAGTAAAATCTTCAATAATTTTCAGTAATCTTTTAACTTTTCTAAGATTCGTAGATAGATTAGGCTACAGTAGTACAGTTGAAATTGTTTTCAAACTGATTGATTTATTGCTGACCAATGATTTAACACATACATTAAACACTTTTACCTTAATTATGCACTAATGATTAATAGTTAAACAACTTAACAACTCAATTCTTTTCACTTTTATATAGTTACAATAATAATTAATAACATTAAGGAATTTTACAGTCAATATGTATATGATATCCTCAATGGTCATACCTACTTTTTATATAAAGAAAATTTTAAAATTTTAAAGAAATAACTTTATCTCACGTTCTACCTAAGTAGTCGGATCAAATAATAGCACACTTACAGAATATTAATAATATTATAAATCTATAAATATATACCTGCAGGTGTCGTAATAGAAGACTGATTAGAAGAAGCAGTTGGATTTGAATGATGACTTGTGACTGTAAATGGTTGGCTCATCACAGCAGTAGACATGTACGAACTAGATGACATCTAAAAAAAATATTTCTCGTATATTAGTTTATTAAAAATCAAATATAATTAGATATGCATTTTTTATTATAAGTGTCGTAAATGCAATAATTTTAATTTATAATTGACAGGATCTAAAAATTATCTTCCTATAATTTTTTTAAATAATTGATATCTAAATTGATGTATAGATATACACGTATAGGTATAAGTATCTGTGTCTTTTTATTAAGCCACAACCATTATACCATTAATGCATTATTGGTAATATAATCATAATAAAAATAACATTATTGATA